AGCCCGATTATGATCGGTGACCGATTGATCGGCACACCTCTAGTTTTTATTTATGTTTAGCTGACACTTTTCCACAATTATATTCTTCTGTCTCTCAGATAGATAGGTGGACGGATGTGACAAAAGGAGATGAGTCAGGAATAATACTGACTTTAAACAATAAATACAACACAACAAAGAAGTTTCTAAGTATGTCACTGTACTAATAAGGGCATGACTAGGCTCCATCTTATTCTAAGAACTGTTTTTTGAAGCCTTAAAGAGTATGTAATTTCCTCCATCACATAAATGTTCCAGACTCTTTGGATCCATGGTGGATCCAGGGCCTCTTGATGGTTATGCATTTCAATGCTGCTGTGAGCAACAGAATTAGCAGATATCCATCACCCTTCCTATCAATTCCTCTGAGTATTTCTCCCAACACTGCCACAAGGGGCATTTTTGGAGCATCTCTTCTGAAAATTGCCTTGCAAGCTTCAAAGATCTCCCAGAATACACTTAGTTTAGGACAAGACCAGAAGATATGAGTATGGTTTGTGTTTTGTGTCCCAGTTTCTCCAGCATGAACTGGGTTGTGTTGGGCTCATTTTATTAGTTATTACTGGCGTTCTGAAAAACAAGACGATTACTTTCCATTTGAATTCTCTCCATGTATTAGAATTTGTGGCTTATTGCGCTCCAGTACATATTTCTTCCCATGTGTCTCCTCTTATGGGCTCCTGCAGTTCAGTCTCCCATTTCTGCTTTATATTTATGGACAGAAACAGATCATACTTTAATTACTTTTTGGTTTCCCTTTACTCTTTGTATGTCCGTTAAAACTTATTGAAGATTAGTCCAGTTGTGTGTCCTCACAAAGCTTCCAAGTCGTAAATATCTATAGAAGTCTGTCTTGGGGACACCGAATTCACTTTTCATCTGCTCAAAGGTTTTGGAATTTTTGTCTTCAATTAATTGATGAATATGAGATGGTCCATTAGACCAGTTTCTCAACCCAGAGGCTAACTTGTTTGGTCAAAAGATTTTCATAAATCCTGTATTTGATAAAAGTGCGATCTATTTTAAAAACTTAAAAGCTTGATTGTATTTTGTTCCAGATTTCGTGTGTGTGTCTTTTTTTTTTAATCATAATTGTCACTTCTAAATTGATTTATTGGCTAGATTCACCTAATCTGATCTGGTGTGAACTTGAAATTCAATCAATCTCTACATCTCTTTAACCTGCCTTAATTATCTATTCATCACTACCAATGAAATTATCCTCTGTTACTACAAATTCTATAGTGCTCTCTACACTTCAGATTTGGTCACAATTTAGGTCCCATTTTAAATTTATGTCTCCCTCTAATAAAATGCCGTTATTAAAAAATCTTATTTTTTCTCACGCGACCACTAACGTTGGCTACAGAATTTGGCATGAGAGAGGCATTAGTACAATGAGGGATCTCTACAAAAATGGTTTGTTTCTTTGTTTTTCAGAGTTGTCCTCAAAATTCAACCTACCTGCTTCTCATCTGTTTCTCTATTTCCAAATTAGACATTGTGCTTTTTCGCTGTTCCCAAATAAATCCAGATACCATTTTCTCTAAGTTAACCAAAATAATTTTGCCTTTTCTTTGTGGACACAATAACTTTTGTTTAAATATTTCCATAGTCAGTTGAATTGTTTTTAATCTGGTTACTAACAGGTGTCTCTGTGTGTGTTGCAGATAAAGCCAGTGTGGAACGCAGGATCTCCTCTTTGTGTTACTGTACAGTGACACTGTATGAGTAGCAGGCGCCACCTGACCCCCATAGCGGGACCACACCCTAAAGAGACTCTGGAACTGAGGAACACTCTCCCAGCTTCCTGTTCCTTCCTGTAGCAGCTCAAGCACTTTTCATTTGTTCATTCTTTGTTTTGGAGAGAATTTTTGTGGCCGTTCGTCATCAGTTTGTTGTACTGGCTGTGTTTAAATAACGGCAGAATTTTTAATCTAATTCTGGGGCGCTCAGTCTGTGTTGCAGACTGAGCTCTGAGTGATGCACATTATTCCAACCAAAGATGACAACAAATCAAGAAAATGGTAAAACAGATGTGGACATCAAAGCATTCTTTTAAAGATGATTTTTAATATGATGGGGACATCCCATCAGGTTACCTTAGAAATCCTGGATATTATCGGTTTCTAGCAGGAACAAAGAGGATTCACAGGACTCTGAGACAGTGCTGTGGACTAAAAAGACTTGAGCTCTGGTTGGAGAAACAAATATGAGATTGAATCGGTGATCTTTACTCTTGTTTCAGTTTTAGTGTATTTATTTGGAAATTAACAGACTTCTCTGCCTTTCAAGAAAACCTCAAGTATTACAGATGAAGGAAAACCATCTCAATGGACAAAAAGGAAAAAAAAACACGAGCTTCTGTTACATGAACCCGACAGCCATGAGAGCAAAGGATACTGTAGATTTGTAATCACTTTGTTTTAACTTTGTGTTTTAAACTCCAGCACTTTATTAAAGAACAGGAGGAGGGGACAATGGGAAGAATAATGTGAAGACGGGGTGGACGCTTTTCTCATCACTCTTTTACTCACCCTGATGCATGATCAATAAGTCCTCACATATACATATGTTCAATTGGATGAGTGGGCTGCAGTTTGCAGCTATTTTAAGGCCTCTGACCTTTTTTCTATTAATAACAGAGCAACATTTTGAAAAACAGAGCAACATTTTGAAAGCTTTGCTTCTGTCTTGTTGATCATGTAGCTGACAGTAAGGTGTAGTCAAGGTGGGGTTCGGTTAGGAGGGACTGAATCTTCTCACATGAGCATCCAGATGTGTTGAGTGGATGCTTGTCCTTCTCCTGCAGCCAGCGCGCTGTCCACTGCAAACCCTGCTGAAGTGAAGCTGATCTGTTGCATTACATCACAAGTTCCAACAATAAGATTAATTTTCCTAAAGAAGACAAAAACTTATCAAATGTAGCTTTTTGTCTCATCAGCACTGTAGCTCATTTTTAATAAAACTAAACTTGTTTGTAAACTTGTATATATCTGAATGTGCTGCATGTCAGGGTTCCCCTTTTTGAGGGGGCCCTGTGTTTGTGAGATCTTCCTGAGGGCGGCAGTGGCTGCAGCCTATCAGTCAAAGAGCACAAATCTTTATATGTAGATAGATTAATTTCTATTGCTTGTATTTGTGTTTGCCAAGGGTTTGATAAGAAGACCAATCTTTGGCACACCTGGCGTGTGCCAAAAATTGCAACAAAACTCATGGCAGCTCCAATCTTTCTACCAGGACTGCTTGTTGTTGAGATCACATTCTTTAGCTCATTTAGAAGGCAACCCGTCCATCATTTCCTCCCACTCTGGATTCAGAGTTTTCTCATGCGTCCCCCTGCCTCCCTCTGAAGTCATGTGCTGCGCTCCAAACACTATGTGAGAGCTGCCAGGTGTGCATTAAGGTCAGTACTATCTAGATAGAGCAGGAGGTGCCTTCTCCTGAAAGCAAACACAGGCCTACTCTGTGGAGGTGTGAACATGTTTATCTGTGTAAAAAGAAAAACTCTGAGGAGTTTCAGGACCTATATTCCAGATGTACTGTTCTTTATCTAAACATATCCCTGTGTGAGTTATTCCCTACTCTTTGCCATGACCTCTGATCAACATGAAGCCTTTTACTGCATACAAACTAAAGAGGGAACTGATGAGGTGAGAGTGGGGGGGACACAATCTGCATAGTTTTGGACTGTATTAAAACATGGAGCGTTTTAGATGAAGCATGGGTACCAACTCTGTATCTGACCCTGTAGAACCTCGAGAATGTTGAATGTATCTACCCTGTTGTTTTGCACCTCTCCAGCTTGAACTGAATGCCTATTGAAGTCGGTCACAACTGTTATTAGACTGACTGAGCACCAGATTTGCAAAGTGAAATGTTAACGTTCTACTCCTTTGATTCAAAGCAGTCTCCCTTTGTTCTTGATGGAACTCAATTACAGTGTTTGTAATTAAAATAAATCAAAATGTGTGTTAATTTTCTTTATAAGCTTAGAAAAAATTGCTTTAATTTTTTTTATCCAATAACAAGCTTATGTTTTTATGTTTCATATTATAACTGAAGTACATATACCTACTAATGTTGAGCATCTCACGAGGAGGATGTGGGTTATATTGGCATGTAGAGAAGTGATAAGTTTCATAAAAGGTGGACTATTAACTGGCATGATGATTGCCTTATGTTTTATGTATCAGAAATATCTCATTATTACTAAATCTTTCTGAAGGTAAGCTCTCTCAAAACCTAAAATTTACACTTTCTGAAAACAACTTTCGTCTCTCTGTCTGAAACATAATGTAATCTTCCTTGCATAATGAATAGAACCATTGCCATTAGACTCCTAACACTTTTTATCCAACATCCTATAAGAGCCGAGCTGGATCCCATAGCCATTTCTTTAACTCCCTGTTATCAGATGACATCACGATTCAAATGGAACAAGCATGTTCTTGGTTGTAAACTGGAGTACCTTTGTTTGGGGGGGAGCGGTTGGGAAATTTAGTGCCGAAATAGCCTTTGCTTTGGCGCCCCTTTAACACAGTGCCCTTAAGCATTATAGCTTTATATCTATTTTTTGCACCACTGCATGTTTATGCAGCCTTATTTTGCAGTGACAGGGATGATCAATAGAATGCTACTTGTGGAAGAATACTGGTTCTGTTATTTCTCTGCTGGGTGGATATGGATCTTTACAGCTGAAGAAACAAGGACTGTAAGGAGTGGGGAACTAAGAACCCACCCCGCCCTGAAGACAGGACCCACTGCCTGAAGACTGTTTCTGCTATGGTTGGTGAGGAAACCAACATGTAGAAAAATTGCATTCACTGATTGGCTCCTTCTTTGTTTGACATTTTAAAGCACAAATTGCTGGCCTCAGCCATCGGCATGTTTGGAACTTTATACTAAAGTATTAGCAAACTGTTGCTGGTGGGAGAGGCAGAAGAACTTATTGAAGGTAGCTTGCTTTCAGACTAGTTGCTACGAACTTTATTCTGTGTAGTTATTAACAGATGTTTTGTGAGCAGCCAAGTTTGCTTTCTCAAAATGTGTGTTTTTTTGCAGCAGGTAAAGTACTGCAAACACATCAGGCTACAGAACACAGAAGGATCAATTACAACACTTTCCAGGTGAAACAAATTACATTGTGCTTTCAATATATTACCATTTTGGTAACACTTTATTTGATGGGGTGTGCATAAAACTGACATGACACTGTCATAAACACGAGGAGTCTTTATGAATGTCTGATGTTTGTCATGAAGTTTAATTCGGTAAATAACATTTTTAATGCAAAGATACTTTAAAAATTGGATTAAAAGTCCATCAAAAGTGCCAATTTTGCATTACAGTGTCATTATTTACAAAATAATGCAATCTTGGCACTTTTAAGGGACTTCTAATCCAACTTTTAAAGCAACTTCTCATTAAAAGTGTCATTATTTACTGATTTCACATACCCACAGTGCCTTGAAATGTTCATGCCCATTTGAGTTCAATGTTTTCTCATTGTTGCATCATATATTTAATGGTTAAATCAAGATTTATGCATAAACTGAGGACCAAACAATAAATGTATGCTTTGGCTACAAATGGGTACAGATTATTTGTAAACCAGTAACTTTTTAGGCATCTGGTACAAATATTTATACATGCCCAGACAATCATGATCAAAGTTATTCCGTTATGTCTGGATGCTCTGTGCCTAAAAATATGGCACAAATTATAAGTCTGCTGCATGTTCCACATATTGTGCAGGCCAACGAGCGACGGATTAGTGCAGCTAGTCTGCTGACAATATTTATGTAATAAAACAAAAAACACCATGATTAAACTTTAATATTGTGTCATGTTAATAAACAAATAGAAATGAATATTAACAAACACCAGAGAACAAACAACCATCAAATGAATATTAAAGATAAAACAAATAAGAATTCTTTACTTCAGAGTTCCTTTATGGGCTCGTATGAATGCTTTTACAAAAGAAATTTAGCACTCCTTATTTGTAATCTTTGAAGATCAGATCCTTGGGCTTTAACATCAATTTCTTTGTGGTTCCTGCAGATAACTTCATGGACCTTGTGTATGACTCATTCAAAAAAAAAAAAAAGCCCATTATCTTTGCCTTAATGTTTGCTGACGAGACAAAAAAGCCTCACCAAATGTTTCATTTCATGCTGTGAGCTTTATTAGCTTGAACATTAAAGTATGTACCAAACCTTGATTTTTATGCCCCACTACACCCCTGTTCTTATTACATTTGATTTTCTGTTTATGACAAGGATGTTAAAGATGTTTTATTGTATTTTAATGCCTCAAACCCTTCATCTCTGGGTCACTGCAGGAGTTTTACACTAACAGCCCAAAGACCAATGATGACTACGGGTGCATCATTAACCAGCACCAGTTTAAAGAATCGTGGGTGTCATGGAGGGGTGCATCACTGTGTTTGGTGGTGATGCTGATGAATCTCAGGGCTAGATAGGGAAGTGATTTGTTCAGATATTCCTGGAACTCTGGGGCATCTGTACTTAATGTAGTAGGGCAGACATAGGATTTCAAGCATAGTTCACCATGAGAATGAGATCATTCCTTTAAAGAAGGCCATCTTAAAGGCTTCATGTTAGCCAGTTTTGATGTGTTTCGAAGTGTAATAGGCCTTGGCAAATATTCTAGGATCTTTTTATCTCACATTGAAAGGTTTAGGTGTATATTTGTATAAATCAAACAATATGCGGTGCTGTGTAAAGTATTTATACCAAATGTTCTTATGTATCCATAAACATTATTGCTGTACCTTATACATCAATTCAAACAAATTAGTCTGGAAATTAAATTAGGGATAAAAATTAAAATGTACGAAGAATAAATATAGAGCAATGTGAAAGTAATTGTTTAAACTGAAGAGTGTGGTTTTAACATGACAAAAGCGTTTTGCTTTATTTCTGTGGTAACTAGCTCTGCTTAAAGATAACCAGTGGCGCCCTCTTCTGGACTACAACAGAGAAGATCTTAGCCATCCTCTTAAGTTGTGAGTCAAATCGACCTGTTTTAAAGTTTAACATTTTTTAAAGAAATAGTTGGAAGTATTTTTTCTGCTTGAAACTATTTCTATTTGTCTTAATAAGTACACTCTACATATAAATTGAAAATGGTTCATTTTACAAATTTGCAAAACCCCCAGCATCTACATATCACATAAATACTATTCGGGTATCTATGCAGTCAAGTTGAAGGGTGAAAAGGGTAAAAAAAATTCCAATTCTATATGTTTCCTTGCAACTATGAGACATATTTTACCACACACACACACCATACACATACATGCACACACAAGCCCATTTTCTTACTATTCTCTTTACTTCACTAGGAAACTGCGAGAAGGCAGGTATTCATACAACTTTTGACGGGAACCTTTTCTGTTCCCGTGAACAAACTCCACCCACACTGAGTGGACACTCAGCAGAAGTGGAGGGAAAACATAAATACTCTCTGCATGACTCATTTGTCTTGATTTTAATCAGTGTCAATTTGACTCGGAACAGAATACGTGTCTCAAGTTCAATTATAAAGATCACCTATTGGAAAAAAAGAAAACTCAAAATGTAATATAAAAAAAATTACAAAAGATCAATTTCAAGGATAGTTATTGTTTTTTTTGTGTGTAGATTTTTTCAGTGGACATAAAAAATGTAAATTACATTTTTTTATGTAGTTCACATAAAAAACTACATAAAATATGTAGTTTTTTTTATATTTATGTAAATGTAGTTTGCGTTTACATAAACTACATTTATGTAAATGTAGTAAATTGTCGTCATTGATCCTTTATTTGTGAGAAATAAAAAAACATAATTGTACAGATATTGATTGAAACGGTTAGTATTGGAGTTAATAATCAGATACAAAAATGTTTTGGAGGATTTTTTTTTTTTGTTTCTGACACTATTGCATGATTAAACACTCCACGGGTCAAATTGATGTAGGAACATTATTGCTGTACCTCAGAATCGAATATAACAGGAGAGTTAAGCAGACTTTACAAGTTAATCAACTGGCACTAATTTTAATTTAATAAAATTAACTGACAAATAATCTTAATCAATTGTTATATGTGCAGTTTTTAGGATTGTGTTATCCTATGAAATGCTTGGACTGTCTTCACGGAAAAGGATTTAGAATTTAACCAGACCGTAAAGAGTTTAGAATGGTGCTTTCAGCCAGGGCATGTTTAGCCTCGATGCATCCTGCTAAACACGGCATAAATGTGTTATGGATTTAAGAACTTGGGAATCTAAGGAGACCATAAACAGACAGGATGTTATCTTTTACCATATGTTGTTGTTTTGTTCAGGTCCCACAGTGTTGTAAAATGTAATGGGTGACTCCAGAATGATGCAGGAGGAGATCTTTGGACCACTACTGCCCATCATCATAGTGTATGGATGAGGCCATCCACTTCATAAATGAGAGAGAGAAGCCATTAGTTCTCTATGTGTTTTCCCACAATGCCAAGGTAAATGCTTGGCCTGCAGGCGGATGTTTTCCTCTTCTTAATGCTAAAGGAATATCTTTTAAATATCTGATCGAAAAAGTGCTAGCTGAGATGTCTAGTGGAGCCCTGGTGGCCAATGACTGTATCGTCCGCTTCCTGGACAGCACTCTGCCGTTTGGAGGAGTTGGAGCGTGTAGGCTGTCTGTCTTCCTGCTGATCACCATTCATCACAAGGTTTTCACTCTGACTTTCAATGTTCTGTTCCTCAGGTCACAGCGGTATGGGCCGGTACCGAGGCCGCCACACTTTTGAACAGCTCAGCAACCTTCGCAGTTGCATGATCAAATAACTCAAAATGAAGGGGCTGAACGACATGCAATCCCCCTCCCACCCCACGCTGGGCCCGCCGCTTCTTACTTTCACAGCTTAATGTGCAGAAGCTGCGCAACATGGCTATGTTGGCTATGCTGACTTGCCTTGCAGCCTTTGTGGTGCAGGTAAAAGAAAACTGCCATGCCTGTTGCAATTAGCAATGAATCAATTAATCATGAATTCAAATGAACTTGATAATTTTCATTCTGATGATTAATATTTTTGATATTAATCATCAAATGATTAATATCAAATCATCAATTAATCATCAATGATTAATATTTTTGATATTAATCATCAGACTAATATATACTCTGGTTAGATTTGCTATTGTTTTGTCTGTCAATTACAATATTTCATCTTGTTTGATTATATTTAATGCGATATTTCAAGCAGATTAAAGATGGAGGGAAATTGGCCAGAGATCAATTTACCTTTTTCAAACCTATAAATCTGACCAATGATGGTTTTCACTTTAGGTGTTAGAGTTGGGGCTGTTCTCCCTGTGCATGTGTGGGTTCTCTCTAGGTACTCCAGCTTTCTCCCACAGCTTAAAAACATAACTGTCAGATTCTCCTTAGTTGTGTGTGTGCATGATTGTTTGTTCTGTCTCTCTCTGTTGCCCTGTGATGGACTGGTGACCTGTCCAGGGTAATCCCGCCTCTCGCCTGTTGACCCCTGGATATAGGCACCAAGTACCCCTCCCAATCCCACTAGGGATAAGCGTGTATGACAATGGATGGATGTACGTTAGAGTTGGATAAACAATGACATTTCTCTGTCAGATGTGGATTATGTAAGCTTATCACCACAAACGTCTCTAACTGGTGAACAACCATTAGATATCAGTAGTGGTTTCTTGCATAAAATATCTGAATGTTATCTTTTCTTCAATAATTTATTGTTAATAATTAACAAAGTTATTCTATTGTGTCATCCAAAGTACTAATCAGTGCTGGCACCACAGGAGAGTTATTTATTGGAGCCTAGTTCCAAAAGCAATAATTCTGCTCAGGATTATCAATAGTAAAGCAGCTAGTTTTACACACAGTAAATTCTGTTAGCAACTTTATAAATATTATCAAATCATTTTCCATGTTAATCGGACAAGTACATGCTGTCCCCTCATACAGCAATGGCTTTGTCTCTGAGAGACAATGTGTTTTTGTCCGGAAAACCTGCCCACACATCTACCCTCCTTTTAATTACCCAACATGCCTCACTGCCCTTGGTTGAAGGCCTCCTTTGTTCTGGTCAGCTCCACTGTTGTTGACGTCCATGTTTGTTGTACTCATCTGGAACAGCTCAGCCATGTTTCTGTTTTCTGTATCTTGTTGCCTGCAGCGATTCCTGCACTGAAGCTGAGCAGTCGATGCAGGTCATCTGCAGCTGGAATCCAGTCTGGTCCATCACTGTATTAGTCAGATGCATTTCATATTTGAAATGCTTGGACTACTTGGACTTATATTTGGAAGTCCAAGTTATATTTGGAAGGACATATGATTGAAGTTATCATTTTAAAGATGTTTTGTGTAAACCAAGTATATAAAATCTTCTACATTTTTATGCTCACATTTGTGATTTAACTGTAGGAGTCAGTGTCCAGCAATATGTTACCATAGCAATCCATTAGAGTTAATAAAAATCTCTCTTTAGTTCAGGCTGGTCCTCACATTTCCTGTTAATTAAAAAAAATAAAAAATAAAATTTCTTCACTGTTTTCTTTCTGTACCATTTTTCCTCCATAAGGCCTTCCATCCAAACTGACATCTGTGTCCTTCCAAGGTTTGCTATAAAGAGAACAGTAACCTCTGAACTGCTCATTAAAGGCTGTAAAAGTAGTAGCCAGAAAGCAGCTCCCGTATCATGTAATTGCTGAATAAAAGGTGGGAGGGAGGGGGGAGTGGTGCAGACTTGGTAACTGACTCCAGAGCTGCGCCAGTGGCAGACGGCGCACACAGGTCAGCTGGAGAGCAGGAAGCCCCACAGCGGGACGGGAACATTCAACTCATATCCGACCAGATCAAGCTCCAGTCCAGCTGCAGTGAGTTCGGTACGTAGACACGCTTCATGGACCGGCTTCCGTAGTCACTTTAGTCTCAGTCACATTAATATTTTAGAACTGAGAGATGCAGTGCAACAGATAAAAATGGTCTAAGTTGGCCTACGTTGGTGAGAGGATGCAGACTCAATTTAATGTAAACTGTTTTATTGAGAAAATATATATAATGTTATAACGATGCTTATGTGGAGTCTGAAAGTCTTTTTTTCTACAGAAATGTGGGGTTCACCGCACTAAAAGCCTGGATTGTACAGGCTGAATTATTGGTTTGATCTAGAATCCTGAGTTCAGTTTTCAACCCAACAGATGGAAGTGACGCTAAGGGTAATAAACCTGGCTCTCTAAACAGGCAATTAGTGGTTAAGATACATTTTTACATGTAGCTTCATTTATTTACGCAACTAAGATAGTGTCAGATAGGCGATTAAGGACAAAAACATCATGACTACTAAGACATTTTTATTGACAAATCAATTTGAATTTACACTATTAAGTGTTCTATAAAGTGTATGAAATCAGTCCCATGTATGTTCTTGCAGCAACTTTACTAATTACTTTAATTTTTAAGATGGTATAACCGATGGTGAAGAGGCAGTGGTAGAGGTCAAGATGTTATCAGAACACAATGAGCTGAATTAGAACATGAGCTCCACGGAGCCAGTGGCAGGACTGGGGTGATACCTCTGTCTTCTTTTTCATTCATTACTTCCAGCAGCTTTCTCAGAAAGTACATTTTAGCACTTGTGCTTCATTGTGTTTACTTTATGTAAGGCTGATGTTTTAAGCAAATCTTTTGAAGCCATTTTATTCTTTTACTCAACAAGCACTTTGATTAATACTTTAATACAGCGTTTCCCAACCCTGGTCCTCGAGGCACACTGCCCTGCATGTTTTAGAAATTTCCCTGCTTTAATGCACGTCATTCTGCTGATTGCAGTTCAGCAAAGACCTGCTAATTGAAATCACCTCTGCTGAAGCAAGGAAACACCTAAAACATGCAGGCCAGTGTGCCTTGAGGACCAGGGTTAGGAAACACTGCTTTAATAAAATGGTGCTAAACTAATATATTTGCATTTTCCTATCCTCTTTTTTAAAATAAACTGAAATCCCTCAAAATTTGCCTTTTTAAAACTGTAAATGTTAGAATAGAAAATATTTCAAATATCTACTGAAGGAATAAAGGACAGCACAGTGGCTAGCACTGTTTCCTTGCAGCTGGGGCGTTGTTGGTTGTTGGTTCTAACCTGTCCACTGCTGGAGACCCACGGTCTGGGCCTTGTCGTTGAGCAGGTGACTGGATGGAAAGGCAGCTGTTGCAGCAGGCCAAGGAGGCCTTCGTCAGTGGCAGGGCTCGACCTCTAGAGTTCAGACTCCAGCAGCTTCACGCCCTGCAGAGGATGATCATGGAGAAGGAGACTGAGATTTCCACTGCTCTCAAACAAGACATCAGCAGGGTAAGGGGACAGACTACCGCTGGAGCACCAAACATACATGTTCATACACACACAGAAGAGTGGTGTATAGCTGGGTTTGGTTCCATGACTGCTGGGTTTTCCACAGAGCCAGTATGACACGCCTCTCCTGGAACTGATCAGCATTGAGAATGAGATCAAGCTGGCCATAGAGAAGCTTGCACAGTGGGCTGCTCCTCGTCCTGTAGAAAAGAGCCTCTTTACTATATCGGACGAGGTCTACATTCAGCCAGAGCCCCTGGGAGTGGTTCTCATCATTGGGGCCTGGAACTACCCCTGGGCTCTAACTCTGATTCCACTGGTTGGAGCCATTGCTGCGGGTAGGAGCTTTTTTACTTTCTGCTTCTGATTTTGGCTTCTAAAAACTCAGCATGCAACCCAAAGTTTACATCAACAAATTCAATGCAAATTGTTGGATGCACATCAACACTGGACTCTAGAGCAGTGGAGACGGGTTCTTTCTCATTTTGATTTAGGTGTGGACTTTGAATGGACCATTCTAAGACTTTAGATCTACATTATGCTGTTGTAGCTGTGGATGTATGTTTAGGGTTTCAGGTCTTCTGCAGGTGCTGACATGTTTTCTTCCAGCACTGCCCTACACCTGCTCCACCCCCATCAACTCTGGCTAGCTTCCTGTCCCTGCTAAAGAAAAGCAGACCCAAATTATGACATTGCTACCACTATGTTATAACTCTTATAAGCAATATGTTTTTTTTTTTTTACACATTTATTAAAACTGCTACTTTGTCATTACATGGTATGAGACAGAAAATCTGAAAAATCGGGGGACAGAAAATGGTGTATTTCTGTCCCCTAACATCTGCAGAAATATATCATTTGGTCAGAAACAACCAATCAGAGTCAGGAGGAGGGTCTTACCACTGATCTTCAGGCTTGTGTTCAGGCTGCTCAATGTGCTAATGGTGGAGAAACAACTTACTATTACCAAAAAACTGTTCATCCATGTTTACTAGCCTGTGCATCCACCTCTGGTTTTGATGTGGGTAACTAGCTGTAGCATAACAGAGAGCAAGGGGGTGTCCATAAGGGTGATTGACAGCTCTAAGACCCTCCTCCTGGCTCTTATTGGTTGTTTCTGACTGAGCAGTCTATTTCTGCAGATGGCCGTAGGACCACAAGGAGAATATAGAGGCGCTACATTTTTTTTTTCAGATTAGCTGTCTCATGTTATACTTCCACAATGTGGAGACAGCTTTAACAAATATGTAAAAACATATTGTTTATAAAAGTTACATACTGCAGCTGTAAAGAGGTGATTTGTAGTATTGGTTTTCAGCCAACTACTGTTGAGCATTTGTAGTTAATGTTTTAGTTTCATCTGGCCTGAACTCATTCTTCCACATGTTCCTGTCTCCATGTTCAGATGATGGATTGATCAGACCTCTGTGAGACGTTTACATCTTATTTTATTTTAGAACCTGGCCCTGCTTTAAACTTCTCCAGAACTTTTCCCACATCTGTTTTTATGATGATATTTGTTTTATAGTGTGTAATGATCTTTACGTGCAGAACAGCTGCATTTATACTTATATTATGTTAAACACAGGTGTGCTCTATTTACTACAGAGCCTTCAGAAACTGATTGGTCAGCCTGGATTTTAATGAGTGGTATTGGAGTAAAGGAGGTTTGAATGCAAATGTATGCCACAACTTTTGACATTTTTGATTTTTAAAAAATGTTTAAAATTATGTACCATTTTCCTTCACCCTTACATGTTGGATTTTGTTGATGATAAAATCTTTTTTTTAAATTAATCTAATGAGGTTTTTGTCTGGAATAATATGAAATGTGAAAAAGTTCATGGAGTATGTATGTACTTGTATGAACCCTGTAATAACTGTACAAACTTCACTTGATACCCCTCCCCCACTCCCCTGCCAGCATTCTCATCCTCCTACTGTCCCTGCTCTGCGTCACTCTGTGATTTCATTCCATTCACAGGCAACGCAGCTGTGGTGAAACCGTCCGAGTTGAGCAAGTGCTCGTCCCTCCTGCTACATGCACTGCTGCCTTGCTATCTGGACAAGGTCTGAACACCCACTGCTGGTGTTGATAAGATAATGCTGGACTCAAAGGCTGTTAAGTTTCCACATAGCACAGCTTATCACTGAGATTAATTTGTCTCTGTTTAATGGAAAGTTTTTACTCCCTCCAGCTGAATAGCTGAGTCCTGATTCTTGAACATGATTTTTCTTTATTTCACTCAACAAGTACAGCATTGAGTACTCAATGAGAAGAAAATATCTTGTTTACCTCCAGGATCTGTACCCAGTAGTGACAGGTGGTGTGTCAGAGACCCAGCAGCTGCTGAGGCTCAGGTTTGATCACATCTTCTACACGGGCGGTAGCACAGCGGGCAAACTGGTGATGGAGGCTGCAGCGCGCCACCTCACCCCTGTAACCCTGGAGCTGGGCGGGAAGAGTCCCTGCTACATCGACAAAGACTGTGATGTCAGGACAGCCTGCCGGTAACACTGTCATCACCAGCACACAGACAAAGCTGACTGCTGAACTGATGTAGAAAAACTACAAACTTTCCAGGAGATTTTAGGCAAATAACACATGGTAGAGAGTCAGATGGTTTTTCCATCTTTAGATTGCAACTTTTAAAAGGGCAGTATCATGTAAAATCTACTTTTTTGAGCTTTACATCATGTTATAGTGTTAGTCCCTCATCAAAAACACACCTGGTGTTTTGCTTTGATTCTTTCATGCATGTTTGAGAAATCCTTTCTCTGGGAAATCCTTTCTCAAACATACAAACATGCAAACAAATAATAACAAAACCAAAAACAAACTCAAACAACCCAAGATCCAAACAGATATATAGCTCAAGTACATTTTGCATAATATTGCTCCTTCAAAATTTTTAAGCTGGTATTGACTGGAACCTTCAGCTGGCATCATTACGTGTTCTTTCATTGCTTTCTAAAGCATTTCAAGGATTCTCCCAGTAATGACTGTTCTGTTTGCAGGCGCGTCACATGGGGGAAGTTTGTGAACTGTGGCCAGACTTGTATCGCTCCAGACTATATTCTGTGTGAGCCCTGCATCCAGGGCCAGGTGGTTGAATTCATCCGAGAGACTCTGCTGGTAGCACATCAACTTTGACCTGCTGTTAGTTTTA